TTTGCTCGAGAGCAGATTTCAACCTCACGACGAAGGATATCTAGCTCGAAGCCAAACGCCCACGATTTCAACTCCACGGCGGAGGATATCACTCAAGACAACACAAGTTTAACTTCACAACGAAGAGACGGCTGGTTGTCAACTACAATTTCGGAGCCAATTTCAACTTCACAGCGAAGGATATTGGACTCCAGATAACGCAAGTTCAATTTCACGACAAAGGGATAGCTGGTTGTCAACAATAACTTCCCAATTTCGGGGCTAATTTCAACTTCACATCGAAGGATATTGGACTCCAGACAACGCAAGTTCAACTTCACGACGAAGGGACCGCTGGTTGTCAACAATAACTACCCTATTTCAGGGCCAATTTTAACTTCACAACGAAGGATATTGGACTCTAGACAATGCAAGTTCAACTTTACGACGAAGGGACCGCTGGTTGTTAACAACAACTTCCCAATTTCAGAGCCAATTTCAACTTCACAGCGAAAGATATTGGACTCTAGACAACGTAAGTTCAACTTCACGACGAAGGGACCGCTGGTTGTCAATAACAACTTCCTAATTTCAGAGCCAATTTCAACTTCACATCGAAAGATATTGGACTCTAGACAACGTAAGTTCAATTTCACGACAAAGGGACCACTGGTTGTCAACAACAACTTCCCAATTTCAGAGCCAATTTCAACTTCACATCGAAGGATATTGGACTCCAGACAACGTAAGTTCAACTTCACAACGAAGGGACCGCTGGTTGTCAACAACAACTTCCCAATTTCGGAGCCAATTTCAACTTCAGAACGAAGGATATTGGACTCCAGACAACGCAAGTTCAACTTCACGACAAAGGGACCATTGGTTGTCAACAACAACTTCCTAATTTCAGAGCCAATTTCAACTTCATAGCGAAGGATATTGGACTCCAGACAACGCAAGTTCAACTTCATGACGAAGGGACCGTTGGTTGTCAACAACAACTTCCCAATTTCAGAGCCAATTTCAACTTCACACCGAAGGATATTGGACTCCAGAAAAAGCAAGTTCAACTTCACGACGAAGGGATCGCTGTTTGTCAACGAAAATTTTCCCAATTTCAGAACTAATTTCAAAGGATATTGGACTCCAGACACCGTAAGTTTAACTTCACAACGAAGGGACCGCTGGTTGTCAACAACAACTTCCCAATCTCAGTGTTCGATTTCAACTTCACGACGAAGGATATCATGCTCATGAGCTTCCAATTCAACTCAATCTCACAACAAGAGAGTCATCCCATATTTCAGTTCAAATTGACAAACCAATCAAATATCGGATTCTAACTCTACGACAGAGGACATTCGATATGGATGAAATTTGTGTCTATTAATCTTTGCTCCATTTTCGTTACACGATAATAAGCAAAGAGGGGCAGCTGTAGACGCCCATATTTCATCCATTTATGCATATTATAATAAACATATTTCAGACCAACAGTGGCCCAAACGAGGTCCAAACAAGCGACCCATCAGCTGCCAGCCCAAGCACTCAAGGGTTTCTCTCCATATTTCATCCATTTATGCATATTATAATAAACTTAATGATTTATTCACTCATGCAAAAGATATTCGCATATTACTACACAAAGATTCATTGAAAAGCACAGGTACTTAGAAGCTGATCAGGGCTCATGCATATACTTGAGATGGTCGAGAGGTGGTTCTCGAATCAAGGATAAAAAAACATCAGATTTGAACATTTGAAGAATTCAAGACCAAGAGTCGAAATCTTCAAAATTCCATACAGACAACCAAAGATCGAGATTTCTCCCCAGATCCCCATAACTTTTTCAAGTTTTAGCCAGAGTCAATTTCAATTTCGCGACGAAGGGTATTGAACTCACAATTTGCTCGAGAGCAGATTTCAACCTCACGACGAAGGATATCTAGCTCGAAGCCAAACGCCCACGATTTCAACTCCACGGCGGAGGATATCACTCAAGACAACACAAGTTTAACTTCACAACGAAGAGACGGCTGGTTGTCAACTACAATTTCGGAGCCAATTTCAACTTCACAGCGAAGGATATTGGACTACAGACAATGCAAGTTCAATTTCACGACGAAGGGACCGCTGGTTGTCAACAATAACTTCCCAATTTCAGGGCCAATTTCAACTTCATAGCGAAGAATATTGGAATCTAGACAACGCAAGTTCAACTTCACGACGAAGGGACCGCTGGTTGTCAACAACAACTTCCCAATTTCAGAGCCAATTTCAACTTCACATCGAAAGATATTGGACTCTAGACAACGTAAGTTCAATTTCACGACAAAGGGACCGCTGGTTTTCAACAACAACTTCCCAATTTCAGAGCCAATTTCAACTTCACATCGAAGGATATTGGACTCCAGACAACGTAAGTTCAACTTCACAACGAAGGGACCGCTGGTTGTCAACAACAACTTCCCAATTTCGGAGCCAATTTCAACTTCACAACGAAGGATATTGGACTCCAAACAACGCAAGTTCAACTTCACGACAAAGGGACCATTAGTTGTCAACAACAACTTCCTAATTTCAGAGCCAATTTCAACTTCATAGCGAAGGATATTGGACTCTAGACAACGCAAGTTCAACTTCATGACGAAGGGACCGTTGGTTGTCAACAACAACTTCCCAATTTCAGAGCCAATTTCAACTTCACACCGAAGGATATTGGACTCCAGAAAAAGCAAGTTCAACTTCACGACGAAGGGACCGCTGTTTGTCAACGAACATTTTCCCAATTTCAGAACTAATTTCAAAGGATATTGGACTCCAGACACCGTAAGTTTAACTTCACAACGAAGGGACCGTTGGTTGTCAACAACAACTTCCCAATCTCAGTGTTCGATTTCAACTTCACGACGAAGGATATCATTCTCATGAGCTTCCAATTCAACTCAATCTCACAACAAGAGAGTCATCCCATATTTCAGTTCAAATTGACAAACCAATCAAATATCGGATTCCAACTCTACGACAGAGGACATTCGATATGGATGAAATTTGTGTCTATTAATCTTTGCTCCATTTTCGTTACACGATAATAAGCAAAGAGGAGCAGCTGTAGATGCTCATATTTCATCCATTTATGCATATTATAATAAACATATTTCAGACCAATAGTGGCCCAAACGAGGTCCAAACAAGCGACCCATCAGCTGCCAGCCCAAGCACTCAAGGGTTTCTCTCCATATTTCATCCATTTATGCATATTATAATAAACTTAATGATTTATTCACTCATGCAAAAGATATTCGCATATTACTACACAAAGATTCATTGAAAAGCACAGGTACTTAGAAGCTGATCAGGGCTCATGCATATGCTTGAGATGGTCGAGAGGTGGTTCTCGAATCAAGGATAAAAAAACATCAGATTTGAACATTTGAAGAATTCAAGACCAAGAGTCGAAATCTTCAAAATTCCATACAGACAACCAAAGATCGAGATTTCTCCCCAGATCCCCATAACTTTTTCAAGTTTTAGCCAGAGTCAATTTCAACTTCGCGACGAAGGGTATTGAACTCACAATTTGCTCGAGAGCAGATTTCAACCTCACGACGAAGGATATCTAGCTCGAAGCCAAACGCCCACGATTTCAACTCCACGGCGGAGGATATCACTCAAGACAACACAAGTTTAACTTCACAACGAAGAGACGGCTGGTTGTCAACTACAATTTCGGAGCCAATTTCAACTTCACAACGAAGGATATTGGACTCCAGATAACGCAAGTTCAATTTCACGACAAAGGGATAGCTGGTTGTCAACAATAACTTCCCAATTTCGGGGCTAATTTCAACTTCACATCGAAGGATATTGGACTCCAGACAACGCAAGTTCAACTTCACGACGAAGGGACCGCTGGTTGTCAACAATAACTACCCTATTTCAGGGCCAATTTTAACTTCACAACGAAGGATATTGGACTCTAGACAATGCAAGTTCAACTTTACGACGAAGGGACCGCTGGTTGTTAACAACAACTTCCCAATTTCAGAGCCAATTTCAACTTCACAGCGAAAGATATTGGACTCTAGACAACGTAAGTTCAACTTCACGACGAAGGGACCGCTGGTTGTCAATAACAACTTCCTAATTTCAGAGCCAATTTCAACTTCACATCGAAGGATATTGGACTCCAGACAACGTAAGTTCAACTTCACAACGAAGGGACCGCTGGTTGTCAACAACAACTTCCCAATTTCGGAGACAATTTCAACTTCACAGCGAAGGATATTGGACTCCAGACAACGCAAGTTCAACTTCACGACGAAGGGACCGTTGGTTGTCAACAACAACTTCCCAATTTCAGAGCCAATTTCAACTTCACACCGAAGGATATTGGACTCCAGAGAAAGCAAGTTCAAGTTCACGACGAAGGGACCGCTGTTTGTCAACGAACATTTTCCCAATTTCAGAACTAATTTCAAAGGATATTGGACTCCAGACACCGCAAGTTTAACTTCACAACGAAGGGACGCTGGTTGTCAGCAACAACTTCCCAATCTCAGTGTTCGATTTCAACTTCACGACGAAGGATATCATGCTCATGAGCTTCCAATTCAACTCAATCTCACAACAAGAGAGTCATCCCATATTTCAGTTCAAATTGACAAACCAATCAAATATCGGATTCCAACTCTACGACAGAGGACATTCGATATGGATGAAATTTGTGTCTATTAATCTTTGCTCCATTTTTGTTACACGATAATAAGCAAAGAGGGGCAGCTGTAGACGTCCATATTTCATCCATTTATGCATATTATAATAAACATATTTCAGCCCAACAGTGGCCCAAACGAGGTCCAAACAAGCGACCCATCAGCTGCCAGCCCGAGCACTCAAGGGTTTCTGGAAACCTTAGCATCAACCCAGCGCCGCAAGGACTCATGGCCAAGACTTCCACAGCCGCACGTTCCGGCCTTTCAGCAGCCCGAACTCCACGCCGGTTTCCTCGGAATAAACCAACAAGAAAACAAGCACGAGTATTAGTGTTTTGTTAGGATTTAAACACCTAAAAATAGGGTATTCGAATTCCTATAAAAGCATGTAATCATCTATTTGTAACAGAACAACAGTGGATATGAAATGAAAGCAAAAATTTCGAGCAAGTACGAGCAGTGATTCAAAGCATTTTTTTACGATTATTAAAGAAGAAATATAAGGTAAAACGGCTCACCTTTTATTATTTCGTTACGCATGTCGTCTCTTGGATGTAAAGCGCCGAAAGTCGATGACCGGAATAGGGGGAATTTGAAAATTTCTTTTTAGATCTACGCCCCTACGAGGCTTATTTAAAAAAACTAAGGCGTTTTTCGTGACAAGGGTGTTATGGGCTTTCGAAAAAATCATTATTTTCAGATTTGCCGCCGGTGAACGAGGCCGCATCGTTCACAGTGGCCGGCGAGGTGGCACACGGTGGCCGGTTTCTGGGTTGTTCTTCAATTTGAAGAACATATCAGAGGATATAAATGAAAAGGGGAGGTGATATTGTTTTGGTTCACGTGTTCTAGAGTTAAAAAGGAAGGAGGAGTGCTTTTTATTTGGATTTTTGGGTTAATCTCACTTAGGGTGCCTATAGTTTTAGTCATCTTTTACTTTGGTCGCTTAAGGTATTGGTTTATTCACATTCAAGTCCCCTCAATTCCTACCGTGTTTTACATTATGACCCGCGTGTTTCTGTTGAGAAAGGGGTAAACTTCTCTTTTAGTCCCTCGGGTTTTAAACTCCTATTTTTTGAACCCCAATTCAATTTCCCCCTAGATTTTCATTCAAAATCGACCCTCAAATTTAACTATCGTTTCAATTTCATCCTTATATTATTAATATATATGTATATTTATTTGTTTCCCTTACTGTTTTTACTATTTTTAGTATTTTCTTTAATTTATTTTTTATTATTATCATTATTCTTATTTATCATTTATTTATTTATTTATATTTTATTCTTATTATATTTTCTCTAATATTTTACATATATATATATATATATATATATATATATATATATATATATATTATGTATACTTTATGTAATTTTTATTATTATTATTTTTCTAATGTATTGCTTATATGTTATTATATATTTTATTTTATTTTTATTTACCTTTTTTCTCTATTTTTTCTTATGTTTTTATACTTGTCCTTATTTTTATTTCTGTCATGTTCTCTACCTTCATGCCAATTATGTTTATTGTTTATTTTTGTCTATTTTGTTCTTTATTGCACTTTCTTTATTTTTAATTTACTTTCATCAATTTTTTTAATACTTTTCATGACTCTTTAAGGGTATACTTTGAAATCGATCGAGGGTAAGTAGTTGGGATCGTTATTTTACCTTTTAATTTAAAATTACAATTTTCTTAATTTAAGACAACTGGAAATTACATAGTACCGAAAGGGCAGTTCAAGGGTGCTAACCCTTCCTTGACTGTAATCGACTCCCGAATCCGACACATCTTTGGTAAGACGCAGATCAGGTAATAAATAAGGTATCCAGTCAACCTATTTATTTTTAAATAAATGATCGGTGACGACTCCTAATCCATTTTCGTAAGTCGAAGCCCAATTCCGGGGCCCAACCGAAAGACAGTTGCGACAGCTTGGCGACTCTATTGGGGACAGGTAAGTGAGTCAGACTAAGGTAATTTCCAGTTGTCTTTTTAACGAAAAGAGTAAGTTTAAATTTTAAGGTAATATTTCGATCCTTTTTACTTACTTTTGATTATATTTTCGAGTATATAGTTGGACTAATCGTTTTCTCATGATTTCAGCCTTCAATGTTTTTTTTTCATCTAAGGCTCTATACCCGAGCTCCAAACCTTATTTTAAGTGGGGGTGAAAGCGACGCCTTCGTGTGAATTTATTCACCGTGCGGGCCTAGCAAGTAGCCTTCGAGATTCATATACCTTATGTCTTTGTGTGAATTTATTCACCGTGCGGGCATAAGGGAATATGTCCTCTCGAGTTTAACTTAGTCCACACAAGCCTGTGATGGGTTTAGGACTATGGGTCTGGCAAGCCCAAGGGGGCACCGGCAAGGAGAACTCAAGTACCGTTTTTAGAACCTAAACCGGGAGACCATGGTGAATTAGAGCCTACCCCGAAACCATATTTCCGAAACCTAGGATATTTTTACCTTAACCATGTCTTTTTTTTTCTTTCGTTATTTATTTATTTATTTTACTAACATTTTTGCCTTCGTGTTTGTTTTTTTAGCATTTGCATCATAAGAAGAGGCTATTGATCTTTAAAAAGCGTTTGTTATACACAAAATAATCTTAATTAATGGACAAAGGTGTTGTAATACAAGAGATTAAGAACGCCGAGGCACGACTATGGTCCGAGATGACTCAGAAAGAGAAGGGAGACAATCTTCAGGGGAACTATGTGTCTGTCAGAGCTGGTTAGCTATGCCTCTGTCAGCCTGAAATAGAATGATGTCCAAGAGTTGCGAAACATTTGGGACAGTTGGAAGAATGACAGAAAGTAGAAGTTCAGCCAACGATATGGTGATATTGCCCTCTTACTTCATGTCAAGACTGATGAGCCCCTGCTCCGAGCACTGATTCAATTCTGGAACTCGGGATATAGTTGCTTCACCTTTAACCGGGAGGACATGGTGCCCACTATCGAAGAGTATACCACACTACTGCACTGTCAAAACATCAGACTAGAGAAGGCATATATCAAACATATCAAGGGTCAGCCTTTTAAGAACGGACTGGCCATGATTACAGGGGTTTATGAAAAGTGGGTGATTGATCGACTCCGACACAAAGGTAGTGGGGAAGGAATCGAGTAGATCCATATAAAACAACTAATGAAGAACCACCCTAATGAATGGAAGACTATAGATCTTTTTGCACTGGGTCTGTACGGTTTGATTATCTTTCCGAAGACCTTGGGGTGCATCGACGCAGCCGTAGTAGAACTATTTGAACAACTTCCAAGGCGAGTCAACCCAGCGCCGACCATCTTAGCCGAGACCTTTCGATCTCTTAATCATTGCAGAAGAACTGGTGGAGGAAGGTTCATTGGATTTGTTCATCTCCTTCAAGTCTGGATTCACAGCCACTTCTGAAAGACTAACGGGGTAGCCTACCGCCGATTCATCACTACCTATTCACCATTGGGAGAGTTCATCACTATGAAATGGCATGAGGGCGTTTCGAAGGAAAAATGGATGAAGGTCTTCACTCATCTTCAGGACCGGGATATTACCTGGAGAGCCCCTTGGTTGTTCCTCAGTGACGTTTTTTTTCGATGTAGGGATTCTGACACTATAACCTTACTTGGACTTTGGGGTGCAGCTGGGTATGCTCCGTTATTGACACAGAGACAGTATGAGGCACGTCAGTTTGTCCCAGCAACATACAGATTATCTACATCAGAGTTTGTGTATCATGGTGATAGTTATAAGAAGAAGATCAAAGAGATAGCCGAGTCATGGAAGAAAGTATCCCGGATGGATGTTATGGATGCTAAAGACATGCTCACCCCAAACTATTTAGAGTGGCAAAGATTGCGTAAAAACGACAATACCCCGGTGCCAATCTGTGAGGACACACGGACCATGGAGGACCATCTCAGGCATGTCCTTTCTGAACTTGAAATAGCTAGGGCGGAGTTTGAAGTTGTGAAAAATGAGTTAAAGCAAAAGGTCAGAGAACTTGAAGCTGAGCGCTATCAGTGGAAGCTAGATACTGACTCTCAGAAAGATCGAGCAGATAAACTGGAAAGAGAGCAGGAAAGAGTCCGTTTTGTGCTTGAAGACTTGAGAAAGGGGTATCAAGATAAAGTCAAGGATAACTCCAAGTTGAAAGTGTTCTCTGAATACTGGAAAGATGAAGCTCATAGCCTGAAAAGAAAATTCGAGGGGCCTGATGAGAGAACTTGGAAAGAAAATATGAAGACTGCCCAGAGGCGCTTAGTAGACAGTCAACATCAAAACCAACGCTTGAGAATCCAAATGACTGATCTGGAGAAACAACATGAGAGAGATGGCAAAACAATAGCTGAGTTAGAAACTATTGTAGATGGGTTCAAAAAGAAAGCGAGCGAGCTTCAGATAGTACCCTTCGACGGGGGTTTGCAGTGGCATTTCCGTTGGGAGCAAGCACAACAAAGGGTAAAGGCCAGAGACGCAGTTATCCAAGACTTCCTGGATTAAGTACAGAAGGCAGCTCGCCATCTACATGGCTTGGCAAGGGAAGTTGGAGTGGTTCGACAAGGTATACAACCAGTGACAGATGGAGGAAGAAGACTTGTCAACCTACTAGAAGTTGTTCGGGGTTTAGAGGATTTAGTCCGAATGTACCTTTGATTGTTTTTATGTCTCTTACAAGATAAAACATTTTTGTCTAAATAAAGATTATTTATAATAATGAATACTTTTCTGGATCAGTGCCTCTAAATCGTATACATCATGCATTGCATACTTTGCATTTTATATTTTATATTTCATGTTTATTTTTATATTTTCCATGTTTTTACATTCATATTAACTAACAGAACATGTCTCAGAAAGGGAAAGAACAAACACCAAGCTTACCACTGCAAATATTAAATACGCATCACCCACACAATACCCGAGCAAAGAAAAGACAAATGGAGGCTAGAATGGAAAAAATCGAGGAGAACATGGCTAGATTACAAAAAGAACTGGAAGATAAGATGGCTCAAAATAGTCAAAGCACTCTAGAGTCCATCAAGAAAAACCAGGAATCCTTGGTCGACCAAATAGTGGCCAAGTTATCAGGTTTACAGCAAGCTAGTGCAGTAGGGGGAAGCCCCTCCGAAGGGGTAACCATATCACCAACCTCACAGGTGATTATGTCACCCGAGATCTTAACCAGACCACAAGAAAATTCTTCTGCTGTCAAAGGAAAAGCACCATCTGTTGTAAAGGTGCAAACTTCCAAAACTAATCCTGATAATCATCCGGATGATTACAGTATCCCGGATTTCAATGAAGATGACAAAGCGAAAAAGATGGAAGAAAAGATCAGGATGATAGAAGATCGAATGAAAATGGTCCAATGGGACCATGATTATTATGGAGTAGACGCAAGGGAGCTGAGCCTGGTTTCAGATTTGGTGCTTCCACCAAAGTTTAAAGTTCCTGAGTTTGAGAAGTTCGATGTGAACAACTGCCCATCAACCCATATCACTATGTTCTGTTGGAAGATGACAGGATATGGAGGGAATGATCAACTCCTGATCCACTGCTTTCAGGAGAGCCTATCTAGTTCAGCTATCCGTTGGTACAATCAGCTCAGCCAAACTCACATCAAGACATGGAAAGACTTAGCCAAGTCTTTCCTAGAACAATATAAACATATCAACGATATGAGACCAGACCGGGTTATGCTGCAAAGCTTAGAAAAGAAGCACAATGAGAGTTTCCGACAATATGCGCAGTGATGGAGGGATTTGTCTGTACAGGTTCATCCACCCTTGGATGAAAAAGAGACTAGAAAGTTGTTTATACAAACCCTGAAGGTACCTTACTTCGGACACCTGGTGACAATTACATATGGAGGTTTCTCAGATTTAGTCATGGCCGGTGAAATGATTGAGTTGGCCATTAAACAAGGAAAAATCGAGGGATGAGACTCCAGTAAGAAACCTCCCATGAAAAACAAAGACCGATAGATCAACAATGTCAACACTTATAACGTCAACAAAGGTGTTACGGTCTCAAGCTCAAAAACCACTGCAACTGTACCATCTAGTACTTCAACCCAAACTCAAAGGGAACCAAGGAGGGAAAGGGAGCAGTTCGATCCTTCCCATGACATATAAAGAGTTATATCAACAACTCCTCGACACTCACGCAGTTTCACCTTACCTAATGGATTCGATAAAGACCCCATATCCGAGATGGTATGACGAGAACGCAAACTGTGAATATCATGGTAGTGTGCAGGGGCATTCGATTGAAGGTTGTCTCGCATTCAAGAGGCTTGTTCAACGAATGCGGAACAAGAACTGGATCACCTTCAACTCTGAAACACCAAACGTCGCCCAGAATCCCTTGCCTAATCATCCGAAGGCCGGAATTAATGTAGTCATCACCAAAAATGACAGGAGAATCAAAACCAATGTTTTTGAAATCAAAGCTCCTTTGGCTTGGGTATAGGAGCCAAATGGTAAAGGCATGGCTTCTTGTATCCCAATCATATGAAGTAAAAAATGAAGGTGGTAGCTACTGTTGTTACCACGATGAAGAGGGGCATAAAGTGCAAGAATACCCGAATTTAAGACATTAGTCCAACTCATGAAGGACTAGAAAGAGCTTGAGTTTTATGAAGAAGTTTAGGATTCCCTAGAAGCAGACATTTGCGCTACCGGAGAATCATCAGAAAAAGACTCGGCAGGGGTAGTCCTTTAATCATCACCCCTAAGGCAAAGACGACAACGACAACTCCACAAGCAAAAGTGGTGATTACAACACCTTGACCTTTTCAGTACAAGGACAATCGGCAAGTGCCATGGAAGTACAGATGCCAGGTGAGTACTTCCAAAGGATGTGACAACAATGTGGGGCAAAGACAACTAGAGCTCTTCAAGGAAGACGTATTGGCTATCAATGAGCCTATAAAGGAGGAAGAAGCTAAAGAATTCCTCAAATTTATGAAGCATAATGAGTACAGTATGTAGAATAACTCCACAAC